ACTCATTATTTTGTTAATGTGACACATCACATTGATTGTATGTGTGCTGTGTTTTAAAGTTTTGATTTCTACTTGTGCGATGTGCTTCATAAAAGGCAAAAATCACATTTTTTCACAGTCTAGATGCAGTGACAGCATGTTAGATGCCTGTGCCTGGATCTGCTTTTCCAGGGGACTCCTTTCTCCCATCAAGAGTTGAAAAAAAGCCAAAGTTGAAAGGTAAAAAAACATAGTCAAATGATCATTCCATCAGAGAACAGAGAATGAGCGATGAAAGTTTCTGCTAGATAAAATGATTCTTTTTAACTCTTATGAATTCACTGATTGGGACATGTAGACATAAACTTTGTCCTCTATGTGCTTAGGAAATTATACCCACCAAACCCTTTCAAAGGTGTTCTTGTGCAAGTACTCATTTCTCTAGTTATTTAGGAAGACAGAAGTGGAATTGCATGTACAGTAGTATTGTCTTTTTTTATATCTTCTAACTTTTCTGTTTAGGCTGATTCTGATTTGGATCATCTAAGAATTTATAAAAGGGCAGAAATCAGCTTAAGAAACTCCAGTGTCCTTTGCTTATTTGCTTCCTCCTTCCAATAATGGATGACATTCATGTCTTTATCTGCCTACAAATGAAGTGTGATCACTGAGCAAGTTAAGAATACAGTCGTGATTATGTCAAGAATATATAAGCCAGATCTATCTGAAATATGCAGAACAAATTGAAGAATCAAACAAAAATCTTCCTGCTCTGCCCAAGCACGTCTCACTGATATTGGTCTTGCCGGAACAAGGGGCAGTGAGCAGAGAGTCCCCAAGAGGCAGACGTGGCAGGGGGCAGACATGGGGGATGTCCTAGCTGCTAGCTCCACACAGCATGATGGAGGAGGCCACGTCTGCCTTAACCTGGTCTTCAGTGTGGAAGTTGCTGTACCCCAGGAGAGAATCAGGTGGCTTCGGGCTTGACTGGAGGGAGTTTTCAAAGGTCAGCTCCTTCCAAATTGTTCGATGCATTGTATATATTTCTGACGTTTAATTTCTAAATCCTAGATTTACTGTTGCCTTTCTTTTCCTTCTGTCTCTGCCTTTCTCTCCTTTTCCAGGGTCCCTAGTTTCCTGATCCAAATATTTACAGGTTTTTGCCTTGATGCACAAATGTTCCATCTGCCTAGTCCATATTGTCTTGCAGGAAGAGGGCTGATGTCTTCAGTTAGTGAAATCAGATGAGAAACAGTCAAGCAGCAACCCGGAGGCCAAGGAGAGGTGCCCACCCCCCCAAATCCTGCCGCCCAGGCAGCCACACCTGCAGCACTGAAAGGTCAAGGATGTGTGTTCAAAAGCTTTCAAAGGAAATCAGTAAAATACAGTCAGACTAAGTCTTCAGGTGAACACCAGAACCAGTTCCTCTCTGGAGAGGACACCTTGATTTCACAGCTTCCTTGTCCTTATACTTTCTATAACTTACCAGATCCATACTTATAATTATGCCATTATTTTCTTTCACTCCCTAATTTCCCCAGCTTAGCACAGGGCCAGGGCCAGGGCCAATAAGTATTTGTTGAGCAGATGAGTGTCACCACGATTCTATAATCCACGCCAACAGCATCTGTCATCTGAGAGGCCTGCATTTCAGCTGTGGTTCTGCCTCTTGGGAAGCAGGCTGTCTAATTCCTCTGGGTCTTAGTTTCTTCACATGGTTAACAGAATCTCTCTGTAGTTCTCAAATAACAGTGAAGCATTGGGATCGGCAATTTGTAAATGGATGTATAGCTCCTTTTCATGCTAAAGCTGTTTTATCACCCTCCACTCCCTTCCATGGATATTCTTCGAATCGCAGTTGTTTATTTGATGTTACCGTTACCGTGTATGCAGGGAAGGAATGAATGAATATTTTGGTGATGGTTCTTCTTTGTTATCAGGACATTTGGCAGTGAAAAGCACCAGTAAAGCTCATGAACCCCAAATTTAGAGTGCAGCTGTATGGCTGTAATTGAACTGATAAGGGACTGAAGCAAGAAAGCTCTTAGCCTGCAAATCCCTGTGTTCCCTGCAGGGTCCTTGGTGGTAAAACTGTAGTGATATAAGTCACAGGACAAGTGCCAGATGGCAGGGTAGGGAAGATACTTTCTAAGTCACTCAAGAAGCAAGAGACTTTTGAAACATATCATATGGTTTCACTAGAGGAGAAATATAAGGGAAACAAATAAGAGATCAAAGGAAAAAAGATAACAATAAATAACCAAAATTAACAGGCAACTAAATCAGAAACATTCTGCAGGGGAAGGGGAAGGCGGTGGGTCAAAACCAGAGCACAGGGGTGTGGTGAAGGTGCAGGGTGAACTGGTGGTGGGAATTTCACAGGGTCTGCACCTGAGGAGAAAGCATGTGTTGTGCCAAAAAGAAAAATGAGGTAAAATAAATATAATTTTGTTTTTTTTTTAAAGCAGGCAGTTCAAAACGTGGGGGGAGGGCTGGGCTTGCCAAGCTCAGGGTGACCTTTCTCTGACAGGCCCTCCCATTCCTTCCACCAAGAAGACAAAAGAGGAGAAGGTAAAACAGGAGGTCAAGTTTATGTACAAGAATATAATGTTTATCTGAAATATTTACAGGTTGGTTAAAGCAGTATTTTTACAACTTTTTAAAGGTCAACTACGATGTATCTTACAGGTCAGCCACAACGGTTTATTTTGCAAAATTAAGTAAAAATGGTTTAAACAAAGCTTGTAGTACTGAGGTCAGTTACAGAATTTGTCAGCTTTGCCCTTTCTTCAGAGAAATCACGCTCTGTGGTGTCATGTGCACTTCCTGAAACGGGAAGTTCGCTATCTGGAAATGCAGTACATGTTGGAGCTGTGACTTCCCGGGAGGGTGCAAAACGACTGTTCTAAGGCTTAGGCGCCGAGTGTCAGGCTGGAACTGAGAGTGATGTTGAGATAACAGCCAGCTCTACCTCAACCGGTCGGCAGCCTGACCACTGGGCCACGGAGAAAAATGAAGCAATATGTGCATAATGGCCACCTCAGCAGAAAGTGAGAATCAGTTGACCCAGATCAACCAGAAAAAAAAAAAAAAAAAAGCCAAATCAGACCCACGTCACAGTTGCATCTATTAAAAACCATCTTTAAAGTGAACTATTTTAAAACTTCATAAAAATATTTATTAGTTTGAACATTTCTACAAGATTTGAGTGGATTTTTCCTTTATGTGAAAACAGCTATCCATTCCCGAGGCCTCCTACGGCCGTATAACTCAGGAAATGCTGGGGTGCAAACGTGCAAAAGGCAGGGAAGCTGCTCCCCGCGGGGGCTGGGGCCACAGGGACTGTGCTTGGGAAAGGTCCGGGGGCGGCAGGTGCCTGGGAGGTGCCAGCCGAGACTAGCACTGCAGCTTGCGGATGCTGCGGGCGATGCGCTTGAACTCTCGCTGCCCCTTCTGCCACCGCTTCACCGAGGTGATCACCAGCTCGCCGCCCAGTTTCTGTCCCATGACCAGGTAGGGCGCGTTGATGTCATTCATCTCCTCACAGGTGCACTGCAGGCTGTCCTTGAGCCACAGCACCGACTTCTTCAGGTCCCTTTCGGACACGCCGTTCAGCTTGTAGATGGTCTTGCTTTTGGTCTCCAGGGTGATTTTGGTGTCTCTGTTGATGTAGGTTATCTCCTTCACTTTTATCTTCAGTGCTGTGAAGACAAAGGGGGTGCAGAAGGACTCCAGTTATGAGGGAACACAGCACGGGGCTGGGAGCTAGCTGGCCTCACCCCGCTCCACTGCCTCTTGGTGTGATTTGGCCTGGGGTGGGGGCGAAGAGCTTTCTAGAGCTGCTTACACTGTGAGGGCTGCAGGCTGGGGGCTGGGAGCCGGGGCAGCAGGTGGCCCCATTTCTGAGGCCTCAAAGGGCTTGCCAAGCACTTTGTTGTGAAGCAGCCCTCCTTTCAAAACAGGGGCTCAATTAACGTTTCTTCTCTGCTCTTGTGTTGCAAAATGACTCCCCTATCGGAAACTTCAGCATGAAAAGAAATGCCTGGCTCTTAGGTGAAACGCGAGCCTCCATGGCCGTAAACTTTAAGCTCGATTTATTACGTAGGAGAGGTTTTTGGACAAACCTGTAAGGAAATTATATCACACAATCATTGTTTTCTAAAGAACAGACTACGGGGAAGGAGAATTGATCTTACAGCTGCATTTGATTTGGTAAAGTAACTAGGAGAAAAAATATTCAAGACTCTTTTTAAGAGCACAACATGCTCAACTGTAAAAGTGCTTTTCTGAAGACCTCATCAGTATGTGCTATCATCTGCTTGTCCAAGGCCAGGCAATTACAGATCATTGTATATGCACAGTTTCCAAAGTGGATATGTGGGCTCATTAGCATGTGAGGGTCAAAAGTAAGTGGTTTACTATAAAAGACACATTTTATAGTCATGAACAGAATGGGCAAGAAAACCCTACAAACTTGTTGTCATAACATTTCAACATTCCACGCAGGCACAGAAAGGGTAGAATTTTTTAAGGTTGACAGGGACCATCCAGTTAAAATCGCTTATTAGTACGTGAAGCACCTGAAACCCTGAGGTGACCAGGTGAGGCTATCCTGGCCAAGGTAGGCCCCAAACCTCCGCCTTTACCACCACTGTGGTTGCTCAAGAAACGTTCATGCTTGACCCGTTAGAACATTAACTCCTTCAGTCGTCCCCTGTCCAGGGCCCATTGACAAATCTGTGCAGGTGACAGTGTAACTCCTGACTGAGTGGTGCTGAGTAATTGTTTAAATCGGTAAAGGAGAACAGGCTTGTGTGTGGGACTACTCTGGGGGACTCCCTCTGACGGAGCTCGACATTCCAGCCCACCAGGCACATCAAGGATGCTGTGATGTGGCCAGCAATGCTTTTGTCTGACGTGCGTCTGAACCGTAGCCCCGAGCTCCAAGATTATAAAATGTAAGTCATGAAGGAAGTGATGGGGCAGGGGCGAGGAAGCTGTATGCTGGGAGAAATGATCTGATGTTACCCGGGAGCCTCACTTATTGCCCAGATAAAGCACATTTGAGATTTTACCTGGTCACATTAAACATCCCTGAGTCTAAACATCAGAAAAGACGTGACTTAACCGGAGGGAACAGTTATCATTTACCCTCCTCCAGACACAAAATGGCCAACTTTGCTAAGGCTACCTACCATTGGGCAGTGCCCGCCGTTTCTCCCTGGGTTCCTGACTAGCACCGCATATTGGGAAATCAGAGCACCAAGATAGCTTTTCCTGTCCTGGGAGATGTGAACACAGATAGAGGACGTAGGCAGGGGAGATGCTATTGTCAGACCTAAAAGTAGGTGGCTAAGGAAGGAGGGAGCAGCGGGCTCTTGTGCTCAGTTTCTGCTTTCCCCACTGCCCCAGGGAGGTCATCTGCATTTCCCCCAGCTTCTGGAAGGCACCGGAAGAGTGTGATGCTTTCCTGGGTAATTCAAGTAAATCAGAGACTTTGGAAGTCACTTGCTGTACTCTGCACCGGTTACCCGCTGCAGTATGGACTACTGTTTCCTACGTTTCAGGTTTGCTTTGGGGCCAAAATGAATGTAGGGAAGCGGAAAGCAAAGCTTGAGTGGTACCTGGGTGTGTGATATCTTAAATACCTTCATGTTTGGAAAGGTTTTCTCCCTAGAAGAACACACACATACTTTTCGCACAGGCAGGTCTTGACTGCGCATCCTCAGAGGAGGTTTTGTGTAAGGTCACGAGGCAAGCCTGCTGGCCACAGAAGCAGCAGGCAATTGCATGTGCTCCCTAAGTTCAACTGTTTGGAGCCCCATGATACAACTTTTTCCTAGAAGTCACTAGAGAGCAATATTAAATCTAGTGCAATGGCCACTAGTTGTCGGTAGGAAATGACAGTTTACACACGTTTTGGGGTGCATTTCACTAAAAGTGTATTCTATCTCAGCTGTAATCAAATCTTGCACACGGACGCTAAGAACCGCGCCTGCTCGGTGCTCGGTTTGCTGCCGCTAAGGGTCCAGCCTGCACGGTACTGAGACAGGTGCACAGCTCTGCGCATGGGCACAGGAAACCCTGTGGCTCATACTCGGGGGGTAAGCGTTGGTGAGGACTTGCATAGGGTCCTTTCTTTCTCCCTTCCTCAGCGGTATGAAGCTTTGCTAATGCCTGGCTGTGGCTGTTATGGGACCAGGTAACGTCAAACCCTGGCCATGTCCTGAAGAGATCTGGAATGTGAGCAGTGATGCGTTGTGCATGAGCAGGCCTGCGACTGGGTGGCAGGGGGTGGAGGAGAGCATCCCTTGCCAGTGGAGCTGGAGTCATTCAGTCTCAGAGCCTGTGTGGAGCAGGCAGAGCTTAATCCAGCTTGGTCAGAGCCGTGACTGCTTGACAGAGCAGGGACCACCGGTGGGCAGGAGCCTTGGCTGGTATCAGAATACATACTCCTCTCAGGATACATCCTCTCCCCACCCCCAGTCATTGTCAGAGGGTCCTGCCAAAGCTAAATTTTTTTCTTCATACATTTAAAGAGCTTTCCCCCTCACCAAATACTAACCAGTACCCTGGATATACTCACTAGTGGTGGGACATAGAGGAACAACGCACTGCAGGTCATGAATAAAGTAGAAATATGTCTTTTTGGCACTAGAGTAAATGTTTATTTGTGGCCAGCATAATGTCTGGAATCTATTTTGCTGGGGCTGATACTGACATGTGTGATGCTGTTGCATGTAGCATGACTGAAAGAGAACATGTTCCAGGACGGTGCTCGCTGGCAAGAAAAAGTCAAAGGGAAATGAGGAAGGAATGGGCTGCTGAAAATTCAGACTTTGGGTCATTCTAATTACTTGATTCTTGCTTAAATGGGACAATGTACTCACACAATTCAGTACAAGAGGGTTATAGAGCCAGGACACAAGGACAGTAAGGTAGGTGGTTTTAGGAAGAATGAGCTGCAATGGTGTTCTACCCAATCCGTATCAAAGAGCACCTGCAGGATTCGTACCTTTAAGTCACTGCACGATTCACACCTTTTAGTTACTGTGAGTACTTGTGAACCAAATCTTTTGTTGTTGGTATATTACTTACCAAAATCATTTTTACAAAGAGTTTCCATTATGTCGTTGTCATCTTCATTTTTATTTCTGCAGGCTTCACAGACCTTTGGGGCTGGAAATGTGAAAAATTAGTAAGTTTGCTTCAGCAGGAACGGCAGGTGGCATTTGTAAACAACCCAGCTGGGGAAGAGCAGCTCTTGTCGGGAGCCCCCAGCCTCTGCCTGGCCTTACAAAGCAGTGATCACTCCTTCCTAAGGAGCCTCCCTCCTGCCCATCTTGTGTGTGTGTGTTTTAATGGGCAAAAGGAGAATGCCAATATGTTGAGTTAATGATAAGCCCAAATGAGAAGGGCAATGTAGCAGGGATGGGCAAGTGTGGTTACAGGAATTGAGGCTTTTTAGCTCTTTCTCTCAGTCCCTGAAAAAGTTGACCCCAAAGCCTCTCTGAGGAGAAAGCACCAGAAGACCCTCGAGGGATTCTGGCCAAAAGATTGTTCTGGACTTCAGGGCACCTTTGTTCTGGTCTCTGCTGGGCTCAGGGCTTCATTTCCTGGGCCTGGCCAGGGAGAGATGGCTGGCTGGGGTGATGAGGTCACAGGTAGGCCCTTTCCACTTTGGAAACATACCCTATTACCATGACAGTCTCCTCTCATGGCTGTACTACCTTGCACTTCCTGCCAAATATGTGCAGGATTTAAGTAGCATGTATTTCATTGGGATTTTTGTTTCTGGCACAGGTTCTTCCCCACCCCCCCACCTCCCACTGCCTGTTTTAGATGTTCAAAAACAAACAAAAGACAAAAAAAAAAAAAAAGTCCAGCAAAACAGCCGAGACTTTCTTGAAGCTAATCAAAGGATGAACAAATTGTCTCCAGGGTCAGGCGAGTGGGCAGGAGAGGCCCTTTGAACAGTCTGATTTTTTGGGAAGAGGAAAAAAGAAAACATGTTCCCTTTCTACTAAATATTTATAAATGTGTTAATGCTCTCTAAAATCTAGCTGAAATTAGATTTTCATTAAAATAAAATTGAATTTGCACGGAAAAAAACTTTAGGTGACTCATGATAGAAGAGTTCATCAAAACAGAGAAACTGTGGCGCCTTTTTCAAACAACAAAAACTTTTATTCTGAAGGTAGAAATGACTTTTGGGAGAAATGAGGTGCGTAAGGTTGGTGTTGATAGTGGAAAACAGAAACAAAAGCCATACACATAACTGCCCTTAACTTCTCTCACCCAAACAAAATGAAATATTTCCAATTAGGAGCTCTGGGAATGTACATAAAATGTTACTAACCTGTATTGGTTGGTTTTGGTACATGTTGGACAAATGTTTGAAATATGCCAAACATTTGCTATAAATTAGAAATCTAACCAATAAGATGATTGCAAGCTCCCTGTGCCTGCCAGGAAAGATTGCTAAGCAACTCTGCATTTTCAGTGACTAAGGATGGCTGCAAGAAAGCAATTATCCAAGAGGAAGATGCTACTCAAGCCCTTGAAGAAAGTAAGAAGCCCCTCGCCAGCCAGCCCCGGCAACCCCAATCAGCTCAGACACACGTACGTTTCCTTTTCAGGAGGGGGCATCAGGGCTCATGCGGTTTTCATTGCTTTGATGAGTTTTGTGCAGGAACCCCCTGTTTCCTAAAAACTTGGGAAACACATCTTTTTGCATGATTTTCTCCAGTTAATTAAAACCACTCCTAAGAAAGAAGCTGATTCGCGATAGTCCATTCCTGGAGTTTTCCTCTTATGCCCACTCGAGCAGTTACAACCAATACTCAATTCTCAACAGGCCGAGTCAGTTTACATCGGCAAAGAACCAAAAGTATCTTTAAAGACGGAGTTTTGACTCTCCCGCTAGTCCGGGAATGTTCTTGCGCGGGAGAACCCTCCCCCGGGGAACCTAGGTGTAGCAGCAGGAGGCGGGGAGCTCAGTGTCTGCTCAGGGCGCTCACCGCCGCGCACACAGCACCCCCTGCGTGCTCAGAATTGGGCCCCCTTTTCAGGACTATTAACGGCAAGAGTAGATCGAGGAGCCAAAGCCTTTCAAGACTTTCTGTTCATTTTAAACTGCCCCGGTGTAAGAAGGAGCAACTGGTGTTCACTTAGAAACGAGAGACTTGGCTGAGTGTGTGAGCATGGGGTGTCTCAATTGTCGCGGTGACAGACCAGGGCGAGAGGAGCCTCTGCCCTGCCCCGCCCCGGATTGGCGCCCCGAGAATCCCACCGAGGGCCACGGGTGAGAAGGGTGAGGGGAGGGGGGAGGCTTACCTTCCTCCGTGGCCGGCAAGAGGTGATCACTGCTGGCGAGAGGGATGCAGAGGTCGTTGTCCTGGGGGAAGCGGTCGCACTCCAGCATGTCCGGCCAGGGGAAGCCAAAGGCGGACATAACAGGGGCGCAGCGGTCCTTCACCTGAACGCAGAGCGAGTGGCACGGCTGGATGGTTTCATCCAGATCGTCGAGGCAGACGGGGGCAAAGAGCGAGCACAGGAACTTCTTGGTGTCCGGGTGGCATTGCTTCATGACCAGCGGGATCCAGGCGCCCGCCTGCTCCAGCACCTCCTTCATGGTCTCGTGGCCCAGCAGGTTGGGCAGCCGCATGTTCTGGTACTCGATGCCGTGGCACAGCTGCAGGTTGGCGGGGATGGGCTTGCAGTTGCTGCGCTTGTAGGAGAAATCGGGCTGGCCGAAGAAGAGCCCGCGCGCCGAGCCCAGCCAGCAGTGCGAGGCGAGGACGAGCAGCAGCAGCGAGCCAGGGCCCCGCGGCATCGTGGGCGCGCGACCCCCGTGGGGCAGAGGGAGCAGAGCCGGGGAAGGACGAGGCGGCTGGGGGCCCGAGTTCTTCCCGGGCCCGCTCGCTCCGCTCGGCGGGGCGGCTTGGAACCACCTCTGGAGCGTCGGGACGCCGCGCGTTGGGAGCTCTGCGCTGGCGGGGCGCTCTTTGCTCGGCTTCGCGCTGCAAGCCCGCGCGCAGCTCCGGGGGGCTCCGACCCGGGGGAGCAGTGTGAGCCGCTGCTGGGGCCCAGCCAGAGTTTTCTGGGCCCTTTTTATGCAAATATGGAGTGGGGGGGCGGACAAGGGAGGAGCCTAGGGGGAGTAATACGAGGAGGGCTGGTCACTACTCTTTAGGTCTGGTTTTCCGTTGAGAATGTCCCTCACGCGCTCCCTAGAAGTCAATTCTGCTCCCCACCCCACCCCACCTCCCCATGCTCCCAAGCGCGAGCTCAAGGATTGCTTCAACAACAAACTTAAGACGAGCCTGGCGCCTGCGTCCCAGCAACCACCGTGCAGGGCGCTGGCTGCAGGAGCTGGGGGCGCACGCGGTAGAGTTGACCTGTCGGGTCGTCAGGCGGGAACGCACTCTGCCCCCCCGCGAGGCCGAAGTTGGCTCGACTGCGGCCAGAAATTTCTGCACCCGTCCCGGGCCTCAGGGGCGGAGCTGGAACCTGGGAGCTGCAAGCCAACGGCCCTCGGGCTCTCTGTGACCTCGGCTCGCGCCCGGAACCTGCAGCCCGAGGCTGCCTTGGCAAACCTATTTTTGAATCTCCAGTCCCAGTTCCTAGCCTGGTGGTCTTCTCGCTCACTTCAAAATCAAAATGATAAAGTTAGAAGAGAAAACCTTTACACCGAAAAAGGAAATAAAACGTTGGCATTATTTTGTTGGGGAATAGCTATAAGATTTTGTCGTGGTGGAAAGGTCTTCGCCGAGCTTAGACTCACAGCTGTCCACCACCCTCGCTTTGGAAGGAGAGATCTACCTGCCCTCCTTCCCTAAATGATTCTTTGATTCTTTGCTCCTAAACGCACCCGTGCAGCGGGCACTGTCGAGAAAGCACGCACCCCGGGGTGTACGGTTTGGAAAAGTTGGTGCCGAACCCAAAACACTGTCCGGCAGAAAATGCCCCAGGTGGGCAGCCTGGAAGGGATGGGAGCAGACAAAGGGTCCTGCCAGGGATTCATGAGGCCTAGAGCCTGCCTGGCAGAACGGTTCATTCATCCTACACATGCCAGAGGACACCGTGCTGGGCGCCGGGGGGTGCAGAGGTAAGCGAACCCAGGCGGCCTTCTGCCTCGTAGGGCTGGAGTTCTGGTGCTGTTGAGAACTGCAAGCAGTAAGCTCTCCGCTGGAAACCGGGACGGAGGTGCCAGAAAGGGAAGGCTTGTGCAAGGAAGCTCCTTTCCCGTAATCGCCCCAAGTCTCACCAGAGAGAAGTCATCTCTTCTCTTCCTCCACCCGCCCCCACCCCCCTGAGGCGCAGGTCCAAAGAGCTTAACACTGCAGAGCAAGCTCCCCAAGGGTCTTTCATATGCAAGGTGGGCGCATTGTTATTACTTCCGGGCCAGCCGAGCCATCCCCAGACTCAGCCCGCTGCTTCTCCATCCCTTTCCGGAAGATGCTGTGGCAGGCGCAAGACGGCTCGGTGATAGCACCTACCCCTAAACATGCCCGAGAACCGCCAGTTGGATGGAGGGCATTTTTCAGGAATCTGGGTCCCTGAGAGCCCTACTGCCAGCTTTTCTCCTTTCACGCGGTGCTCTGCCGGGGACGTGTCGGGCCGGCAGCGAAGGCCACTCTCCTCTCCGGACTGGCTCTGGCCGCCTTGTTTCTAACGGAATCACCAACAGGCCTAAGGCTTGGTTGCCCAACAACAAGTATTTTGAAAAGAACTCCCAAAGGAAATGGAAGCACACCCAACCAAACAGCTAACGGGGGCTTGAGCGCCGAGACTTGGGTCCTGGGGTGGTACACGGGTCTTTCCTTCTCTTCTGTCCCCAGGCACCCCAGGTCCCGGAGACCCCGGCTCAAAGAGCCGGAAGCCAGTTTGGCACGGTAGAGGCGGTGCAAGTCTGCACAGCAGGCGGGGCTGGGGACCCCGCGCCGGGCAGCATTGTTTCCGTAGCCCGCGGGACCGCGTTTGCCGCCAGAGGGCGCCGGGGGTCGCACCGGAGTCTCCGCCGCTCGCGCCCGGGTTACCAAGTGTTCCCGGGCCCGAGGCCCTCCTAGCGTCACCCAACCTCGGCCTCACTCCGCGCAGGCTTCCTCTTCCTCCCTCACCCGGTCGCGCCCCACTCCTTTCCCCCGCGGCTCGCCAGCGGCCGGCTGCGCGCCTGCCTGCCAGGCGCGCCCTAGGGACGAGCTGGTAGCAGTGGGAAGGGGCGGGGCGAGGGTGTAGGAGTAACCGGCAGTGGGGGCCGGGCCCTGAGCGCGGACCTCGCTGAGAAAAGCGCACGAACGCCGACGCTCGGTGACAGTCTCGGCGCGCCTCTCCAGCCGGGTCCCCGCGCTGCCGGCCAGAGCTGCGCTCGCGCGGTGCAGTGCAGCAGCCGCGCCTTCTGCAAAGCGGACGCTGCGGCTCTCCTGCAGTTCATCAAAAACTACCAAAGACTTTTGCTTTTATAAATTGAGAGCCAATAGTTACCTCCCTCGCCTCCCAGGCCTATCCAGTACCTGCCCAAATTAAGAAGAAAACACTGTTCCCCCAAAGCCACGGTAAGTGGCGTCCGGTGGGTAAGTATACTCGGCAGCCTGCTTAATGGGGCTGCCCAAGCGTCCCTGTTGATGGGGTCTGTCCTTCACCCCACCCGCCTCCCCAGTGAACAACAGCCCTTCTCCCCTGCAAAGCTGCAGGCCTGAAGAGCTTCCACAACCCGTGTTCCTGATTGGACTCCTCTCCTGTGCTGAGTGTTTCCTGTTGTCAAGGGCTGAAGAAGCCCATCCCCCTGGCCACAGCGGGACTGCTTGGCTAAACCTGTGCCAGCTAGAAGAGTTTCTAGGCGGCAGGACCCTCACTCTGGCGCTCAGACTTTGTCCTGTGGGAGGGGTCTCCGGGCTTCTTAGCTGTTTTCCACAAACCAGCTATTCCTTTAGGGGAGATGCTTGGGTTTCTACATGGCTTATTCCTGGGATGCTGTAAGCCTTTACGGCTACTCCAGTCGGGATTAAAACGCTTACCCAGGAAGGGCCGGAGAGACTAGGGGAAGCCCAGAGAGGACATTCTACACCAATAATACATCTGCATGTGCCCCCTGCGGGCCAGCCCAGTCTCAGATGTCCCCATTGCCATTCGGCAGGTGGGTGAGATTATTACCTCGCTGCAAGTAAATGGTCGCGAGTAAATTGGGGCACGGAGGACTTAAGTAACTGGAACCAGGTCGCACAGCGACAGTGCGGCTGCCAGTTACGCGTGCCGTGGCGCAGGGGAGTTAGGCCGGCAGTGCTGGCCCTGGGGACGCGCCCTGAGGTGTGGCAACTGCGTGGCGGCTCGCCGAGGTCCGCGCGCCAGCGGGCTGGCGGGGTGACGTCACCTCCTCCCGGGACCGAGGCCCGGGGCTCCCGGGTCCGGGGTGGGCGGGGCGGCGCACCAGCCCCTGCATCTCTCCCGGGGAGTTGCTGCTGCCATTTGGGGGCGCTATTTCCCAAAACTGATGCTCCGGGTGGGGGTAGCTTCCTTTGCGCTGTTGAGGCTCGGGGATGTTTTCCGCCTTTACAAGTTAGGCGTGAGGGTGACTCTGTGGGAGGAGAGGTGTCGCCTCTCCCGTCGCCTTTGGACCTCCACGCCCCCTGTTCCACCGCAAGGCCGCGCCCTGCGTCTCGCTGGGAAGCTTCCTGGCGCGTGTCACACAGGGCAGGTGTCGCTCGCGCACTCGGCTCCATGCGAGCCCTGGAACCCCGAGGATGCAAACACGGATTTCCGACACGGGGGTGCAGGCCAGGGACACAAGAGCCTTGCGTCGCGTATAAAGCCTAGAAGGGTCAAGTTTGAGGGCGAACAGTTTGCCAGTTAACCCATGGTCTTGCGCTTATCTCCTGCATTAAGATTTCAGGAGGGCGCTAGACAGACCCTAGTTCGGAGCTGGAAAAGCAAAGGATGGGTCCAGGGAAGCTCTCAGTTGGCGAGTGCGAGGGGGTGGGGAGGTGAGAAGGGGCCTGGTCAGGCGAGTGGCAGAGAAAGGGCGCTGGAGGGATCAGGAATGCGCTCTCCACCCACTAAGGCAAGCCTAGTCTCTGGTTCCCTGTCTACCCTGCGGAACCAGCCCTGGCCTTACCCGCGGGCCACCCAGCCGGGCAGGACCTGCCCTGGATGGCGACTGGAGTCTACGACAGCTCTCTGGTTGGTGGGTAAAAGCCAACGTGAGCCCCTAAATTTCAGAGATCTGTGTGTAGCAAGTACAGTGAACATATTTTCGGAAAGGTCTGAAGGCAACAGATAATTTTGGAATTCACTCGAAAGTGCCTCATTACGGTGGCTCCAGGATGATGAGATGCACCTACAGTGATAATCTACTGCAGTGGGCCATCTCCTGGCTCTCCCCTACCCCGTGGTGTTTAGCTGTTTAGTCCACATTTGTCCTCCAAAGCACCAAGGAACATATTTACCGCGCTTCTCTCAGGAACCGCTAGAGGCTCAGCTTGGAGGCTGTCTGGGGTTTTGCCTGGAGACCAATTTCCTTTTCTTGTTTTGTTCCTTCAATGAGAAAAATGGTCCATAGACATTTTGGGAGAAAGGATGGGCTGAGCTTGCTTTAAAAATAAACAAAAACAACCACTATCCAAATAAAAACACCCGGGGTAGTTAAAGACATGGACTCTGGGAAGGAAATTCCATTTCTATTGAGGGCACAAACCCTCCCCACAGCGTCTGGTTTCCTGCATAATGTCTCGAATTTGCTGGGCCAGTCCTTGGTCGTTGGGGTTCAAACCTTGAAATCGGTGTACACAGAGTGGGTTTTGTACTCTGAACTAAAGCAATATTCATGGAGCACCTCTCCAAAGCAAGGACATCTGCTAGCTGCTTTCACTTTTCCGCTCCCCTGGTCCATTTTCTTCTCCACTTCCCTGTCTTGGGTGCCAGTAGTTTTATTACTCACCAGTGTTTTGCAATTGCTGACAAGGCTCTTGAAATGAAGCATCTCCTAATTGCTCACATTAGTGCATCCTGAATGGAGGCGGCTAACCCCCAAGGCTGGTGGTCCAGAAGCTGCAGTGTGTCTGGGAAGCAAGCCCTCCATTGTCTGATTTGAACAGCAGGGGTCACTGGCTAAGCTGGTGTTTCACTCTGGTGGGAATTTATTGCCTTCAGATAAGACTGCAAAGTCAATACAAGGAAACCAGCGGCCCTGAAGCCACAGATGGAATCTGAGTCCCTGCACACATGTACAATCTTACCAGAGACAGCCTCTAGGATAGAAATCCCTTCATCATTTTACTGAACTGACACCATTAGGGGCACATTTCCACGCTCTGTGTGTTTGTCTCCCTGGCTTTTTCAGTAAGTCTAAGTCTCTTTGGTTTGTACTGCTCAAACGAAGGCGTGGGTTGGATTCCTTTAATGGAATCGTCCTTTTACAACAAACTGAGTTTCAGTATGTCAAAGGGACTCACAGCAGCAAATATATCTGGGAACTAGCAAAAGCATTTATTTTGGGTTGGGTCAGGGCTAGCAGCTAACCTGTAATTTGAAACTATAGTATCTGGCATACAGATTCAGTGGGGCTGGATCCATTAGCACTGTTAACAGAGTTTCATCAGTAAACTATATATTTCTTCATAGTTTGTAAATCTCCAATGGTACAGTGCAAGTGAAATATTACATAGAATAACATTTCCAATGCTGCATCGGGTTTCTGGCAGGTGGCCAGGGTGGGATGTGTCCGGTGATCATTTTGGTCTTGTCCAGAGCTTTGCAACTGTTCTCCCTTCATTTCCTCCAACTCTTCATTGAAATAATAATAATAACAAAAACTTCCACCCTGGAAGAAATGAAGGAAGAAAGTGTGCCTTTATGAGGACAGTTAACTATTATTTCCAGGCCCAGGTTTATCCGGCCTAAAGCCTCAAAACAAGCAAGATTTTCTGAGGGCTTCTACTTTCAGTTCTATCTCGGAATAAGTCCTGAGAACATGTTTCTAATTTGTTGGTTGTTGGTGTTTTTGATTTGAGACCATTCGCTAGTTATGCTGGTTCTTGTTCCATTTGGAGGGTCCGGGGGTGGCCTGGTGGGAGGGAGTTAGGCTGGGAGCTCCATCTTGCTTGTATTTCTTTTATTTCATAACTTTATTTTTTTTTTTTTGTGAAAGGGTATATTATTCCCTAGAATATTCTCATAGTATCTGCAAGACTTGGACAGGAGTCAGTGGAATGATTTTCTTGGATTATTACTGTGTCACCGTGGGCAGGACAAATATTCTGTTCTGCTCTTCTCTTTAACCATAGATGATGTAATTAGCCTTCTAATGCCTTTAAAAAAAAGCATTTGTCAAGTTTCTTGGTACTTAAATCTATCTGTTGAATCAAAATTTAGTGGGTCTCTGCCATGCACTGTGGGATTCATCAAAAAAGTTCCTGCCTTTAAGGGGTTCATGGCTTATGGGAGGCAAAAGCAAAATGTCCACTTCTCAGCATTTGTCCTTAAAGGAAATGTCCCACAAATTTGGTTAAAGAGTGAAAGGCATGAAGAGCATCATCAAGTAAGAAATGTTCTGTGAACAAAGGGGCCACAAAGCAATGAAGTTTATTTGCTGGTCATATCTGAGAACTTTTGCTGCTTTTTGAGTTGTGATAGAATATAGTTTACATTGTAAATTCAATTGGAAGTCAGATAATCAGAGAAATTTTCTCTTTAGATTTATTTATCTACTAATACAGAACTGGGGCGGTGAGAGGATTTACCAGAGACAGAGCTGGGAGCAGAACAGGCAGATTAATAAAGTACACTGCCGAGGGGAGCAGCGGGCGGGCCAGGAATGCTCTACCTCTCCCTGTGGACTGCCTCTGGGGCTGGGGATCGAACTTTTACCAAAATGGCTGCTGCAGCTGGCTGGCTGGCTTGTTAACCCGTTGCTCCACCAGGGAGGGCCTAATCAGAGAAATTTTCTGTGAAAGATCTAGAGGGATCTGTTCTTTTCTTTTGCAGAAAGTCAACTTACACTAATAGAGAGATTATATTCTTGCCTTTATAAGTTTACTTTCGGAGCAGAATAGGCAGTGTCTAAAAACCTTAAGTGGACTGGCTTCCAGAGACTTCTTTCTCCCTAAGCACCAGGAAGGCCCCTGCATCCTCCAGACCTGTGTTTCTCAACCCAGCAGCAGATAGTTTGACAGAGGGCTGGAGGGAGTGGATTGAAAATTAAATCAAGTTAACATGAAATTTTCATTTTGCTCATGAGTTGTTTCCTCCATCTTCCCCCAGAAGTTTGTTTTTTTTATAAAACAACATTTAAAAAACATTTTTTTAAAAAAAGATTTATTTATTTACTTATGCATACCAAAGCTGGGATGTGGGAGGTTGCATGTAAAAAATTCAAGTAACACAAAAAACTAAAGCAGAAAGTGGACATCTCTTTTACTGCCCAGATCTGTCAAAACTGTGAAAAACAGTAACATCTTCCTAACCTAATAGAAAACAAATACAATACTTTGTTGACTAAAGAGAAAGTAAATCATACTTTTGCAATCAAATGATACAGACCACGGGTAATAGCTTTCGATAT